ATAAATAGCGAAATGTTGTGAGTCAATTAAGAAATTAAAATCTAGTCGTTTTGAGATTAAATGCTATATTTTTATTATTTACAAAGATTTTTATATAAAGTTCAAACATATTAGTGAGTTTTTTTTTAATTTTTTTCTTTACATAATTAACATTTTGCCTATAAATCTGCAATTTTGTGTAATTAAAAAAAAATCATGATTTTTTTAATAAATAGAATTTACAAACGATAAAATACTTTAAAATTCTGCTTAAATACTTTATAGTAAATGAGTCTAAATCAAAAATTAATAATAAACATAATTACGTAAAATAGGATGTAATATTATTATTTTGTGATCACATGTGAAGTTATTATTAAGTTATTTTATTATGACAGGATGCTTCTATAGATGTATAACATTTCAGTCAGGATTGTGTTTCTCACTATTGTGGAAATAAATTGACGTTGAAAATTTAATATGATTTTGTTTTCATCTAATATTAAGAAAAAATACAAATGAATGTTACGTTAATATTGATAATTTTTACATAGTGTCAATCTTACTAAATAAATGTTAAAGTTTAGATGGATGTATGGATTAACTAGCTGTCGCCCGTGACTACGTCTTCGCAGAATTTTTTTTTGATAGTCTAAGTGTTCTTCCCGACAATGTGTGCCAAATTTAATCAAGATCCGTTCAGCCGTTCTGGAGATAACTTCAAACAAACATCCATGCATCTAAATTTTCATTTATAATATTACTAAGATGAATTGGTGTTTCTTAGGTGATTTGAAAACGGTTAAATAGAACTGAATAACATTTGGCACAAAGATAGTCAGGACTTAATATATTTTTTATTTAATTTCACGCGAACAACTCTAATACTAAAAAGTATAGTTAATCCTATATTTAAAAAGACAAAGAACAAATTTTACATATATTTTGGTCAACATCAAAAAATCTTAGTAAATGTGTTCCACTAGTATGAAGTCCATTAAATAAAAATATAGGAGAAACTAATTCTACTTTGTCATAGTTAAATTACGAAACATTATTAAAAATAAAACATAATAAAGATAAAAATTAATTTATTAAAAAAAAAGATGATACATATACGTAATTAATAATAGAAAAAAATATTTAATAAAAGTTTATTCGAAACTTAACTCGGTCCCTTTCAGATGTCTTTCAGCCCAATCATCGAATCTTCTAGATAAATCATCAGACATATAATTCTTCCAATCACCTATCTCTCCTTTTCTTATAAATCTTAAATCAGTTTTTTCCAAATAACTTCTTCCGAATGATTTCTCTAATATAGCTTCAAGATTTACAGCTCTGTTGGTCTTCATGTTCTGGAAGGAGAGGTGATCGCAGAGTTTGAAGACTTGCTCATCAGACATCGTTTTACCGAGGAAGGCAGCGGTCTTCTTCACCACTGAAGGTAAGTCTCGTTTCATTTCTTCAAACTTGATGAAGAGGAGGTTTGGATCATGACGTCTATTCCAAAAACCTGTAATTTTTTTTTTTATGTATTTCTTGCAGTCTTTTAGGTCAAATAGGAATGGATTAGTTAAAGTTAGGTTAAATTACATTGATATTTGATATTATTAAATGGCCAAAATACAATGTTTCAAACTAAAAATTTAACTAAAGCAACTGCCCCACATTATGTGTTCATAGCTCTATACATAGGAAAGTTGGTCACTTACCCAGTATATGATTCCATACTGGTCCAAACGGTGCGCGGTCTCTCATGAAGATGTCACAGAACTCCTCAAATGTACCCTTCAGGCCGTGGACCAACGTGCAGTAATGGTAGTAAGACACTACCATGTCTTTTGGATTACGTGACGTGTAAATAACCTGACAAAAATTATAAAGATTGCATACACGAACTGCTTCTCAAAAAGTTGCAGTCCGTGTATGGAGAACATCAACTGGAAGTTGTTTACAAACTTAAGTTAAGAATGCGCCATGAATGTTAAATAAAGCATTAAAAGAGTTTACCAATTGTACATCTAGGTTGTACCAATACCTTGGGTTTAGCAGAACCGTCATCTTTCTGTATATCAAGAGGCAGGAGATCCCAAGGTAGGTGACTGCGGATGTAACGGGGATGCGCCAACCGGTGCTTCACCAGGTCCACCGAGGTACCCTGCACTGACTCCTCATGCCACTGCGCATGCCCGTCCACCATGATGCAAGACAACTCGACTAGTGGACAACGGATCTAAAAGTAGGCCAGTAAAATTTAGATTCACATTTTTTTTCTTGTAGGTTCCAAGCGAATGTTACTGGTTGGTAAAATCCACCGGGTCTTAGGTTTTATATGTTTCAGCCGTGGAAACTGACACCCAGTACGTTTAAAATGAGAATGTACAAGCGCCATTTTGTGACGTCACGTTATCAATTCGAAAAAATAGGTCAGGAGCCATCATTTTAAAATAACATTAACTTTATTTTATATTTAATTATTATACATTACTATACATTATACTATTAGAAGCGCATTGTAATAATTGTTATTAGATTAAGTAGTAACCGTGTGCAGTGAACGTAACGTGAATAAACGAGTCTCGACAACTCGCTTGCAATTTCTCCGGAAATGCAAGTTCATTATGCGTCTAGTTTATTGATCCCGTATTATTTAACCGTGCGTTTCCACTACACAAACAAATGAAAAAATGTTTTCATCCATTAAGGAAATATAGTTTTTACAGTCATTGGAAGCCCACGCTACTTTTAACACAGATTAATTAAGATAAATGTTAAGGAGAAAAACTTACTTGTTGCAGTGACTTGGCTCCTTCGTAGTCCAAATCGTGACCAATCAGCCATACCATCTCCTGAGCCCATGTTGATCCTTAAAATTATTATTTGATTATCATAGATGGATAGGTTGGTTGGAAATTAAACGCGCCTATTGTAATTAATATACTACCAATACCGTCAGCGCCAAAATGGCGAAAATCAAATAGGCACAAAATATCACGGTTTATAGCCTGCCCATGTAAAGAGGTTAAGACCATAAAATTAAAAGTTAAATATTATAGATTTAATAAGAAAAAGTGATTAATTTTCTTTGTTTGTAAATTAAAAAAAACGTATGCATTTTAAATCAATTAATTTGTACTTACCGGTCCTTGGATACGAACACATCCAAACATCGTCTTCCAGCACTTCCATGTCCAGTATATCTTGACCTATGGTCATATAGTCAGCTGGTAGTATCACGCGTCCCGGATTAATTTCGACCATACAATCTTTTTTCTCGAACATTCTGTCCAGCATTTCCCCAGTCTCCTCATCCAACTTCGAAAAAGTTAAAATCGGCTTTGTTCTCATTTTGAAATTTGATAAAAACCTCTTTGGAATTTATTCACATTTGTTTTTAATTAAAATAGTAAAGGACTAGTGTTGCGGCCAGCACTGCTCACTGTAATGTTAGATCGCGTGCCTACTTAGACTGTTCGAGTTTCCTGCTAACTCTCACAAATAGGAGTGTTCACTTTCCAATATTCCTCGCGAATATAACTTTTCAATAACTTTAATACATAATATTAGACTAAGTATTATTTATATCACACATTATTATGTAGTTTGGTCAACCTTTTATCGATATTAAGTTACAATTCATAAGCAAATTTGTTTGTTGAATAGCTTCAAGCACTTCTTTAAATTAACAATTACAAACGTCACATTCATCCTTATTCATGAATATGTTCAGATTTTTCGGTTGCCCACTTATTATGACATGACGTCGCACGCGATTCTGTCCGCGAGAAATAAAAAAAAACTTAATTTGTAGCCCTTGTGTTCTTCCTGACTATGTTCTACATCTGTGCCAAATTTCATAGAGATTCGTTCATCCATTCATGCGATACCTTCTAACAAACATTCATCCATACATCTAAACTTTAGTGAGGCCGGCACGTCTGTCTTTTCCACAGTTGCAAAAGAAAGGTAGATTAGCTACTTCAATAAGAAATTTACCAAAGTTATAGAAATATTTGTTGTATATTAAAACACCCTGTATATTGTATACATTTGATTCCGCGTTCTCTTCCTGGTAGTTTGCTTTCCATCCCCCCCTCCCTCCACTGCATCATACTTTTCTGTAACTAATCCAGTCATGTAGATGCATCCTTGCACGCAATACTACTTACCAATTATAGGTTTTCTTACCGTGGGCTTCAGAGACTAATATCCCCGTTTAAAACATATTGTTATCTCTATTTCGTCAGAGGAAAGATAAAGATGACGATGTGTTTTACACAGTGATTTTGTTGTTGGAAACCTACGGTTATCAAACGATTTAACTACTACATAAAGTAAAAAGTAAAGTAGATTTAGTAAGATGTTCCCCCTATCCTATAGCTTAATGCGGTCGCAACAAAATTGATAAAAAAAATTATTTATACGTAAAATTTTTGATCTATATTTCACTATGTATAATTTAAAAGACAAATAAATAAAAACCAAATTATTATTTTTGACAAAACTACATATAATAAGAGTAAAATGTGAGTAACACAATTTTACCAAAAACATTTCTGGTCATAATAAATACTAATATAATGATTCTTTCCTTTTGAACCGATCGACCTACAGATCAATCGACCCAAAGGGAAACACCCAACATCATAAACAATTTTAATATACTAATAATTCACATGATAAAATCTATCCATAATAAATACATTCATAAAAATACAGTTTTATTCAAACTTTATGGAGGCTCAGAAGAACACAATTTTACACATTGTAAAGGCGCATCCGTTTGACGCATCGCAGGAGCGGGAAATTGCGCACGCTTTCGTTCGAAGTGAACAGACATGAAGACATGCTCGCAACTCATCACGAGCGACCATAAAGTTTGAATGTTATATCAATCAACAGGATTCTGAACAACTATTAATATAAATTCTTTATCAGGCGCCACCAAGACTTCGCTTTTTTTACTTCTTATACGAAGAAATGTTAGATCGTTTGTTGGATCAAGATCTCTGACAACAGCTTTCGCTTTATCCACTAGTGCGGACAAGAGGCCCGCGTACTGCACGGAGACGTGATTATCCAAAGTTGTTTTGATTGGTATCCCTTCCCCATTAACCACTATCACCCCGGCAACACCCTTGTGCGTTGCTAATTTACGTACGGTTTCCTCAGCTTCGTTTGCCATTTTGATATTACAAAAATATATAAAATTGATTTGATTTGATTTTATATGACAGTTAAACGTCAATTCAAAATTTGAATAGAATGTTTAATGTTACCATACTTTCATTATTTTAATTATGTTATTTTTAATTATTTTCACCCAACATTATTTTTTAAATTCAACTTATTCTAACTAATGTCTTATTTCAGAGGTTCCCCCATACAGAGGTAAGTTCCTTACTCTATCAATTAAAACTTTTTAAGCAGGTTCAATTTGACACCAGTAATTTATTCCATTTCTTCAGAATTAAAAAATAAACTGAGGAAACTTGGATTAGCGACATCTCGTGGCAGTAAACAGACATGCAACAGGCAATAGTGTTTAAACGCCATCTATATTCGATTTCTGGGCCTACGAAACTAAGAAAATTTAATACGTTTTTTGTTGCTTTTGCAAGAAATATATCTATTATTAATATAATATTAATATAGTATTTTTAAATATTAAGCTTATTGTGCATAGACAACAAAGGCCTTTATGACGGTAAAGGGGCGTTGCAAACTACGTCGTGCAAATAATATTTGGTACCTGTGTACCTAGACTACCAATATTGATTATTGCGAGGGCTAAGGGATACCCTCCCTCTCCTGGTTTCATTCCTCTGACCTAGTTAATACATCTCAAATAGAATTGATTGTCGTATTGAATAAATACGTTATTGATGTATTAAACCATATTTGTATTTCAAAATGTTTGTTAATTGTAAACAATAAACGAATTTATTTCAAAACGGGTTTCTTTTTTCCCTTTTCAGTATTCAAAAGTCTTCTATTTTTGTCGAATCAAAGAATACTTACTTTCATAATATTAACTATGTGGTTCCCGATGTCAATACTGCACAAAATCTTGCTTTCACCCTAATTTTGATTGAAAAAAAAACAGTAATGCAATTGCTTTTAAGACCATATCCCAACCATTTTTGCATGTATAGTTTTGGTCCGTCTTAAGTGGTATGCATGAGATGATGATGGTAACAATTCGTATTCTTATCAGAACAATCGGGTTCTTGTTTTTTTTTTTATTTTTGCCTTAATCGTAAAATCGGGAGATTAAATAAAACACATTTTTAGAGGGAATAATAGATATTAAACGTCATTGAAGTGGGTCGAGATAGATAGATGGATAGATAGGATGGAAAGTTGGGGGTAAAGGGAAGTTATGGGAGATGACGTTAGCCGACTACCCCAGGCGGCGGTGTTTCCTGACGCGTCTCCATTGGCCTGTGAGGAAGTTCATCTCGAAGTGTTCCTCCTCGATCAGCTGGATGAGAGTGTTGTCAAGTTGTGTGAAGTTACGGAGATGGGATGACAACTTAATAGACGCCAGGTGGCCGTAAGCCGGGCATGGGTTGTCTGCAGACGAAAAAAAATATTATTTAAAATCAATTTTAAACTGAAAACGACATAAATAATTATTCTAACTTTGAGTATCAACAGTTCAGACATTTATAAACATATTGTTCTCTCTGTTTTGTCAAAGAATATGAAAAGGACGTTAATATATAATTAATACAAGTGTCAGCATTCCATTGAGTTTAATTTAATTTGAATAATCTCTAAAAAATAAATTCGACAAATTGATATTCAAGTTTTATTTTTAAATCTTTTGCAAGTAGTTCCAGGTAATGTTCGAAAAAGATGACCTATTTTGACAGGAATTTTAATAAAAAGTAGCTGACGTACGCGGGTGTAAAATAAGCTTATTTAATTTTTGGAATGTAATAGCTAAAAGAGTCTTCCGTGCGCCAGCAGTATGTCGCCATCCTTAAGATAAACTGAACGAGAAACAGAATTTTATACACACTTCAAATTTATCGATAGCTAGTTATTTATAATCTAAATTCACTTACGCCTATTGCCAGCGATGAACTTGACAATCATGGCGCGCTCCGGCCGTGTGACGCAGTTCGCGTCGCGGAACAACTCCTGTATCAATTGCCTCACCTCCAGCTGTTAACAAACGTAGAGATAAATTCCCACAGCTGAATGTATACAACATAATATTGTTTCTGAAAAAACAAGAGAAATAATGTCATATTGCGTTCATGTGTTTCAATGACAACCCAGTCTGTAGCTCCGTTATGGTAGGACGAGGTGGGGCTATCGCCTAGGGCGTAACAGGCCAAAGTTGGATATAAAGAGGCGCCTGCTAATATATCTGGAATCCTCAAACCCTAAAAAACGGGGGCGTCGCAGAAATCTCGCCACTGGCGCCGACAATGCTAAAACCCTACTTATAACAACTGAAAACAAATGCAACATAATTGAATCAACGGAAACAATATCCTAAATTGTTAATATCGACCGACTTTATGACTCACCGGTAAACAAATTTTTTATACAAATATTAAAGCAGTGGAACTTTACACCGAGTTAAAAAAATTAACCTTTTTTCTTGATTATTGTTATATATGCGCATGTATCATTTCGTCTGCGTAGTATAATGCGACAATTTTATCTGTCCCGGTGAAAAAGGCGCTGCATAGAAAATGACTTATAAGAAAAAACAAACAAGACACGGGAAAGATCATCTTACATCTAATGAATTTTCATTTTAATAGGGAAAGCTAATAAGGTGTCGTAATGTAGAGTCACGTGCCCACCGGGTCATATAAGTTTGTCGGTCTATACGTCTGGGCATACATCAATAACGTCTACATCAATAAGTCTGCACTAAGCAAGCGCTGTTTTCGTCAATACTACTCTCTATAAATGGATAGGTCATTTCTTGGAGGTGAAAACTTTTGCTTTGTTCCGAATTAAACGCCCCTATTAATGTTAACTGTCAGTATCGACGTTAAGGTAAAGCGCGGTTAGGCAACCGCTCAGGGCGTTGGGCAGAAAGCTCCATAGATCTACGATTCACAAAATATCACGTAGCCCTGTTAAACACCCCCTAAACCCTTGGTAAAAAGAAGGCGCCGTAGAAATATGGGTAAAGCTAAAACCGGAAGTCATCTCTTTATTTTTCGAATCCTTAACACCGTTAGCAGCCGCAACTGTTGGCGCCAAAGTGGCGAAAATCGAAATACTAAGGTTTATAACCTGTCCATGTATAGAGTAGATGTATTTATAATTAATTTAGGTTTACTCACAGTGAGATCGATGGGTTCCTGAGGAGGAGGCATATTCATGAAGGCGATAGATAGGCGCCAGGGTGCACTTGCGCCCAGCGTTGGCACCGCACGCAACACGTCCGCGGGGAACGGTGTCGACAGCGATGGCATGATGCTACAGACATAAAACAATCATGGAAACATCGTGATACAATTTGCAAAGACATCTAAGAATTTCAAACTATGTGTGAAGCCAAGGAATTCGCACTGGGCTGACGTTCTTGTCTAAAAGCTAATTATTTTTTTAATTTAGGGACTACCAATTTAACAAACTAGCTGTCGTCCGCGTCTCTTCACGAGGGAAAAAAATATGATTAGTAAGTAGCCTTTGTGTTCTTCCAGACTATGTCCTATATGTATGCCAAATTTCATCGAGATCTGTTCAGCCGTTCTTTAGACATATTCAAACAAACATCCCTCCATCTAAACATTCGCATTTATATTAGTAAGAAGTAAGATTGAGGCATACTGTTTTGTACATACAGCCACCTTAACGGAATCCTACATTTAAAAACTACATTATAAATTAAAAAAAAATATACTCGTACAAATAAAGTTATATTTCGTCGACATATCTTGGGTTTTCTAGACCAAAATCTCGGTTGAAATCAACATATTTGTCGAAGATAATTACAGGGATGACGACATGTTTCATACAGAGATTTCAGTCTCACAAACCCAAGGTTAGTCCTTTAACGTTTGTATTCTGAATATTTTTACATATCAACTCACAAGAAGTCACGGCCGTAAGAATCAGTAATATATATTAGTTCAGTGATGTTCAAACTTCATTTTACTATTATAAAAGCGAATGTTTAGATGTATGGACGGATGGATGTATGTATAAAGGTATCTCCGGCTGAACTGATCTTGTTAAATTTTGGCATAGATGTAGAACATATTCTAGAGAAATATTAAATTTTTTTTATTCCGGCTGAACGAGAGTCACGGACGACAGACAGAATATTTCGCTGCGATAAAATCGATACAATTAGACGCAAAAGCATAGCCATACTAATATCATAGTTTAGTCAGGATGTTACATAAAAGATACAATTCTTAGTTTAATTCTAGTCCAAAATCGAACAAAATAAACGAAATTAGTACTGGAGACGAAAATCTTTATAGAAAGCAACAAGTGAAAAAAAGGGTGGGGGCGAAATTGCAAACATATGTTTCGTAAGAAAAAACAATTCTTTTAATAGCTAAACGTTTATTGGGAAAAAAAAACAAGAAAAATATTTTACGCTCATCTCAGTCTTACTAAATGGGTGGGCAGTAACAATGGATTTGGCGACGCAATATTCCGGCATATATATTCGCTAGCTTAATTATACATATGTACGTAAAAATAATAAAATTTCAAATATTTGCAGCTATGAACATTTTTATGTAAAAAAAATTAATACTCACAATTAGTAGCACTCCGAGACGTCCGAAACGGCGGCTCCCAGAGCAGCGACTGACGCCTTAAAATGCATCGCCTGGGCGTTTGCAGCAAAGGCTTATGCAGAGGGCGCCCCTTACTGACGCCAACAGCAAATAGCGCTTCAAAACTAACCCTACATTACCTAGGTTCCCTAAATTTTATTCCTAAAGCGCTTTCTGAATGCGCGCGGTATTACACCTAAATAGAAGGGAGTTCAATATTTTTTAACGTAAACTAATAGTTTAAAAATTTACATGTGTTTAAGCTTTAAAATGGCTCAAAGTTAAATGTTACTGAAAATGATTTTCAGTATTTTAATTACGCAGTTAAGCTTTGTGTAACATTGTGTAAAATAGCGCCATCTATTAATGAGATTTTTAAATTACAATTTATGTTTTTCTTTTTGACAAGGATTGAGAAACATAGACTCATAGCTAGTGGCATATCGTTTATAGCGAAACATACCATACTGTAAATGATAACGCCGTTTACCGCAAATTTCCGTCTTCTATAAAAATCCTTACTAATATTATAAATGCGAAAGTAACTCTGCCTGTCTGTCTGTCCTTTCACGCAAAAACTACTAACCCATTTTAAATGAAATTTGGCACACAAATAGTCTAGAGCCTGGAAAACGACATATGCTACTTTTTAACGCGAAAAAGCGGTTGTAATGGGTTGAAAATTTTTATGACATTTAAAATTTATGAAAATTTTACCCTCGAGGGTGGAAAATATCTTTGGGAAATGAAAGTTTTTTTTAGAATATGTGAGGTTTAATTGTTACATAAAAATAAACGTATCAAATTATAAAGGTAAAATCGACACGACAACAAAGATCTCTAAATAAAACATTCCTCTTTAAAATATTTATTCGCTTTCGAATCAACAGTTTTAAAAAGAACTCTATAGAAATGCAACAAAACTTATGAAGCGGTTAAAGCATTTTCTTTTTCAATACTTCTGTTTAAAGATCTTTATTTACTCATAAAAAAACACAAAGTTTCGCTTACAATGAGTATAAATGTAAAATATAACAAAGGCTTGCGGGCTAATACATAATATAGTAATAATATATAAGATTAATATAAATAAAAAACAGACCTTAGTACAACGATAAGAAGTTAAATTGATTAGAAATGATATCTATATATAATATTGAGAATAGATTATGACATTAAGTATTGAATCTCGGTAATCAACAATATTTAACAATTGCGCGTCGGTGTATCGAAATATTATGTAACTAGCTGTCGCCCGCGAGTGCGTCCACGCGGATTTAAATAAAACTATTGGTCGCAGCGTAATGTTATATAGCCTAAAGCCTTCCTCTATAAATGGACTATCCAACAAAAACAGAATTTTTGAAATCAGACCAGTAGATTCTGAGATTAGCGCGTTTAAAATCTTCCGCTTTATACTATTAGTATCGATATGCGAACTGAAAAGTACGAGTTCAATGGGGGGGGAGGTTACATCCAAAATATTTACTCATATTAGACAGCTATTTATTACTTTAAATTGGCAAAAATTTATCCAAATTATTCCAAAATGTAATTCGTAATATTTTATATTAACTTTTCCAAAACAAACTTTTTTTTTGACTCTTCTGAATAACTACACATTCAAATGTTTAACGAACGTTAATCTACCTTTCCATATTTAAAAAAGATAATTTAATTTGCATTTTCGAAGTTTTTCTTTATAAATCTACAGTTTACCTTTTCGAAACAAAAACCGTTTGGTGATATTTGCTATGCTCTCTCGATATTTGATTAAAATAATATTTAACCATTTCAACGAACGAGCAATTATCTACTTTATTCACAAGTAGATCAAATTCAGAATTAATTTACAATTAAACTAAATTGTTACTCACATTTTCCAATTACCTGAGCTACACACATAGTTAAAATAACTTCAAAGCTTGTTTTCGTTCAAAATTTTCAGCTCGTAACATTCGTCGTCGACACAGGAACCACTTCTTAAATAATCTACCACTGATACTATTGCAATATTTAACTTTAATCTATACTGGAGTATAATAATAACGCAAAATAACCATCTCCTAGAGAGGTATAGCCACTACATTAGTCAGGAATTCAAGTATGCGACAGCCATTGTAATATCTGTTTAAACAAGTCAATAGATCAACCGTATCCATTGGTTATTCTGCTATAACGAGCATTTTGGATATAGCGGAAATAAGATTGACAACAAGAACAATATGGAAAAGGGTGTTTTACAGTAATTAGTTTTATTTTTAGTTTGATATAAGTAAATTATTAGCTTATGTCTTTGTTTAAATATATATGTAGTTACTAAATTAAGCTAATTTTATAATGTTCAAGTTGAAACAATATTGATAAATAGTAATGATATGATTTTTGATTAATCATGAATGAAAGGTAATAAATTTTCTTAATTTCATATGATTTTATGCACTTCTGTGCACACATTTAATCCAAAAATAAAACACAGTTTAATATATTTCATTTTATTGTTAGATAAATTTCAATAAAATAATTAGCCTCAATAATTAAAATGCTACCAGATGACAGAAGTCGTCCGGACGGAGCCGCGGGCACAGGTAGTATAAATACATATAGATATTGGCAAAGAAACAACCGTCAATAATTTTGTTTAATTTTAATTGCCATTTTGGTTGATAGGGAAGCCGGGCATTATCTTTTGTGGGACAGCGCCCTCTAGTGGCCGGTACCTCTTGACGCGACACCATTGACCAGTGCTGAAATTCATTTGGAAGTGGATTTCCGCCACCATCGTGATGAAGGTGTCATCAGATTGCATCACATTCTCGTGATTATCTGAGAGTTTTATCGATATTATATGACCCAGCTCAGGATTAGGAGAAGCTGCGAAAAAATATATGCAAGTTAAAAAAACTTTACAATACATATGCCTATAAAACACTGTTGCTCTTCTTCCTTGTCTTAAGAATAACTTTCTTATTTTACATTTGTGGCATAATTACAAGATGTACAAAATGTTTTATAGTCGAATAGTAATTGAAATATAATAACTAACCCCTTGATCCAGCAATGAAGCCGAGTATAAAAGCTTTTTCAGGTCTTGTGACGCGGTTCGCGGTCCGGAACATTTCCTGTGCCTCCAGCAGTTGTGCCTGCTGTAAATCGTAAAAAAAGTGTGGATAACATTCAGGAATATGACTAGGTAAGGTTAGTACATGTTTTTACGTTCCTAGAATATGTTTTCTAACCGGTTATTTTCAGAGTAAATTTTGCAAGAATTTTGTCATACTTTTTAAAGTTCGTTTAATAGCTTTTTATTTTCTGTTCTTCCACAAATTCATCAGTCCGGAAGTCCACATTTGTTCTGAAACGGCTGAACTGATTTTGATGAAATTTTTACTCGAAGGTAGCTGAGCTGATCCATGCAGGAGTATGATAGACTTTATCCTTTTATTTATTAAATGTGTGATCAACAGCTAGTTAAATGTTGCTTACCGAAAGAAATAATGTGCGCCTTGGTGCCGGCGTCGGTTGCGGCGGCGCTGGTTGTATCGGCTGGTCGTGCTCCGCGTGCGGCACTGACTCTCCATTCACAGGCGCGACTGGTACGGGAGCTCGTGCGTGCGTGGTGGGCACAGCGGGTGGAGCTTCGGGCCCGGCGGGCAGCGCTTCGGGGACAGCGGGCACGTTTGGCTGGGCAGGCATGTCATTCTGCGCGGCGAGGGCAGGCTGCGCCGGGGACTGCGCTTCAGGCACGGCGAGCAGCGCTTCAGGCACGGCGAGCAGCGCTTCGGCCACGTCGGGCTGCGCTTCGGCCACGTCGAGCTGCACATCGGGCACGCCGGGCTGCGCTTCAAGCACGGCGGGCAGCGCTTCGGCCACGTCGGGCTGCGCATCGGGCACGCCGGGCTGCGCTTCAAGCACGGCGGGCAGCGCGTCGGGCACGGCGGGCAGCGCGTCGGGCACGCCAGCCTGCGCTTCGAGCAGGCCAGCCTGCGCTTCGGGTACGTCGGGCTGCGCTTCGAGCACGTCGAGCTGCGCTTCGGGTACGTCAAGCTGCGCGGGCGGGGACTGCACGCCATTCACCAGCAGCGGCGCTGATTGACTCGGACTCGACATTTTGGATCTGTTTGTACAATATAAGATTACTTTTATTTTTACAAGTTAGCGTTACCCTAACTAAACAAAAATATTTCTTATTTGATTTTACAGACTTCCTTTAAAAATTTTACTTTCATATTAACGCGCACGCGCGGTCGCCCACGGCTTCGTCGGCGCAGAAATGAAAAAAATTATATGCTCGCGTTCCTAAAATCAGTCCAGTCGTTCAGGATATTATTTGGTACAATCGCGATGTTGCGTATATATATTTTTTTATATTTTCCAGCTATCAGCAACGTAAATTCATAATGTGTACGAAATATGGCACTTTTTCAGACACTCCAATTGTATTAATACGTACAGATATTTTATTTTTGCTTTATTCTTCAGACATGCAAACTAATTAAATAACTAGATCTTAAAAAAAATCAAACAAATATACGATTAACAAAGTTCAAATAAAATACGTTAGTATCGGATCACCGGAGACGACAAATCTCTGTAGGAAGCAACAAGTGAAAACTTCTAAAAAAACAAGTTTAGGGGGATTACTTGCGAGCAATATGTTTTACAATTAATTCCTTACACTGCTATTTAAAAACATATATGCTAAAATAAGTATTTTAAGTTCATTTCAAAGTTTCCAACAATGGATTTACTGCGCACTACACTCGCATATGTTTCGCTAAAATAACATTATATGTATGTGTACTCAAAGAGTATTTTTACAAAAAAATCACTTAAATGCATTTATAATATTTAATATTTTTATTTAAAAAAAAAACTATTACTCACAGTTAGTAGCACTCCGAGACGTCTAGAACAACGGCGTCCTGAGCGGTAACTGACGAAGTGACGAATGACGCCTCAAAATGCACCGCCCGGGCGTTTGCAGTTTGCATCAAATACTGATGTAGAGAGCACGCGTATCGGCCGCTTCCATAAAATAGCGCTTAAATGTAAGCTGTACGTGAAAAACCTAGGTTATCAAAACCGAAGTCCTGACTTAATGTTTTGGAAAATAGCGCCATCTATCAAAAAGTCTATAAATTAACATCGTACATATTTTTTCCGTATGATAGTGAGTTTTGGATGTTATTGAGCCAGCGTCATCTCGCTTATCGGGCACAACTCACATGTATGTACTTACAACCCTGACCTCTGTCTTCCATTATACAGGCTATAATAAGATTCAGTTCACACTCGGGGTGGAGAAAGCAGATTTTTATCGCAAATAAAATTGAGCTTTATACGATTGAAAAAAGGTTTAATTTTACTTTTCACGCCTTATCAGCTTAGTGTAAACAATAAGGAGCCTTCTGGATGCTGTAGATGACGCGTTTTTCCGCGCCAGCGCAATTGATCGGCATACATATCGAAATGGCATACTAATCCATTAGGCTCCACTAGTATTCTTCCAGTCTTTGTACATATGGTTTGTTCTGCTCCAAGCATATCGCAAACAATCTGGTCTGTGTAAACTTGTAATATTTAACATTTTATTAACAATGCGAAAGTTTAAATGTATGTTTATTAGAAGGTATCTCTAGAACCACTCAATGGATTTCGATGAATTTCGGCATAGATGTAGAACAAAGTCTGGAAGAACACATAGGCTACTAATGAGGTTTTTTTAATTATGCGCGGATGGAGTCGCGGGCGACAACTAGAGAGAAATCTTACCTACCTAAAATTTATGTGAATTCCCTGAAATAGGAAACATAAGACTGATATGATTAAAACACATACATGTAATAGCATTTCTTTTTCATGTTTAATATTTTTGTACTATCTACTATATACAATGTGAACTTTATATAATCTATAGAAAAACATAGTACAACAAAACTCGTATTACTAAATCAAATATTAGAATATAGACAACATTAATTTTAAATAAAAAAAAACAGGATTTCAAAAACGCGATAACATTTAGTGTCCGGCAAAAGGCGACCAAATAAACAATTCTATGGGATTTAATAATTAATACACGTCATATTAATAAATAATAAAATTTTCGGACCGTTTTTGTGTTCAAATAAATTCATATCTCGTCTGTATTTTTATCTACATTTTTTTTGTATTTGTCAAATAGTTGTCCTCCAGGGACTTAAAAATCACCAAAAACAATTCTTCTCATACTTTTACCGAACACTAAAAAACTAAATGTGATAAAGAATTTGGTTATCACATTTTATCAACACTATTACAAATTGTATTTTAAAAAAATAATTACAAAAATTTCGTGTGAAGCATGCAGTTTGTCTCTGGTTTCCACTGCCCCAAGCAATCATATAAAAACATATCTATGGTCGAAATCAATGAAATAGACAAATTATAGTCAAACACGGATATTAGAACGGATTCTATCACTGAAAATGACAAAAAAAAACACGTGAGAGATACAGTAGGCCAAAAAAATTGTTGTAGTTTCATGACGGAGGGGCGCTAGTGGACTGTCATAATTTTATCTTATACCCACCGGGTCAGATAACTTATCCTGTCTATACCGACGAAGTTATCTTTCATAATATAGATTTCCACATATCACTGGCTGATTGTCATTTATTGTCTATGGATTTATTTTAAAACGATTCATCTTTTAAATTGACGACACAGACATGTTTTTTTTAATAATTCTGTTACAACAAAAAGATTTGTAACATGTATTTCTATTGAATTCGACAATAGACAAGATGCAAGACAGTGGAAAACTACAATAAAAATTACCGTGACTTTGAAAATTAATCGTAAAAGATTCTCAAAAAAGAAATAAGAGCTCAAATTAGAGCCCAGTCAATTTGTTAACAACTAGAATAACTTATGTATATATGAAGGCGCTTCAGGCATAAGTATTTACGCGTCATATAAATATTTAACATATATATCGCTTAGTTTGCAAAGTAAACCCTTGACGACCATATCATTTGAAGATCAGATGAGTTTCCACTGCCGTAAAATGTATTACAATATTGTCATCTCTCTCATACATATTGACAAAAAGAGAAAACTATGTTCTTATTATTACGATAGTTTAAATTCACTTTTACCCCATATCGGAGTTAATTGCCAAATGTTTGCTTTTAGTTGTCAAATTTGATTGATTTTACATATAAAATAGATATATTTATCTTTTTTTCGTATATATTAGGGTATGTACTTGAAAATATCTCTATAATGCGTTCAATTTTGGCACTAAACATATTGGAAATAACACAACTAAAACATACACTCCCAAGTGAGATCAACCACTAAGCCACACTTAGAGCTGGTTTAATCATATAGATTGACCCTTAGTGTAGATTTAAGTGAGAAATATACACTAAGGGAATGCTTAACCATTACACAACTCTGAATGTTGCAATAAAACACATCTCTCACTGACTAAAACTAAACTTAAGAAAAAATCTTATAAAACAATCGGAAACTAATTCACCATCTTCATATTGTCTCCAAATTAAAATTATCTTCACTTCGTGAGAAATAAAATTAAAACTATCATAACCAATTCTTCGATGGTCAAAATATAATCTGAACTTTTTCGTTTTTAAAAAAAGGTTGACAGCGTTAGCAACACTCGGCATTCCAACATTTGACATTGACAGCTGTCAGTTTGACAAGTCGATCAAAGTGACAATTGCACAACAGTGTAAAAATATAAATATATAGATATTAGTAAAGCATTCACCGTCAATAGTTTAGTTTTAACTGCCATTTTGGTTGGTTAAGGTAACTATTGACTGGTTGTTGGGTGCGATGATGGAGGAGCCGGGCAATATCTTCTGTGGGACAGCGCCATCTAGCGGCCGATACTTCTTGAGGCGAGTCCACTGACCGTTGTTGTAATTCATTTGGAAGTGCATTTCAGCCACCATCGTGACGAAAGTATCATCTGATTGTATCACATTCTCGTAGTTTTCCGATAGTTTTATCGTTACTATATTACCCAGGTTTGGACAAGGATTATCTGCGGGAAAAATTCACACAAATTAAAAAATGATTAATCAACGCAAATCACAGATATTTATATCAGCTTAAAGTTTGTTTTATATTCGTATACTGATTGAAATGTTACTAACCCCTTGATCCGGCCATGAAGCCGAGGATAAGAGCTTTTTCTGGTCTCGTAACGCGGTTCGCGTTGCGGAACATGTCCTGTGCCTCCAGCATTTGTTCCCGCTACAAATTTACAAAAATTAATAAAAAAAGTCAATTAAAAAGGACATTCATAAATATGTTTTCTAACTGTCTATTCTTTCAGAAAAAAAAACAAATTGCAAAGACTAGTTACTTTAAAATTTGTTTGTTTTATTTTTTAATTCTTAAACTAATTTTTATCTGTCTCTCCGTAATTTCGCGTTTGTTCCGGATAATCTCCAAAACGGCTGGACTAATTTTGACGGGATTTTTACTGGAAGGTATTGCAGGAGTAACTTGTCCATAGTAAATGTTGCTCACCGTAAGCGAAAGTCCCCTGCGTGGTACAAGCGTCTGTTGCGGCGGCGCGGGCTGCTGTATCTGCATCTGTTGCTCTTCCTGCTGGTCGTGGTCCGCGTGCGGCAGTGACTGTACACTGACGGGTGCGACGGGCGCGGCGGGCATGGAGGTTGGTGCAGAGGGCGCGGTGGGTGCGGGGGGCGCGGAGTGAACGCTGCCCACCGGCAACTGCGTTGATTGTACCGTGCCCGGCATCTGCATCTGTTTGTAGCAGATATTATTAAGAATATTATGATATTGACAAGTTAAATTACAAAACATGGGATCATATGAAGAATAAAAGCGTTGAGAACTACTTTAATAGACTGGGAGAAAATGAACTTTCTATATTTTATTGATATATGGTCTTTTAATGGGTAAAATACATTTTTTGTACATTTAAAAACTTGTACAAAGTTCTCCAATATATTTCAAATGTTTGCGGTCAAACTTTAATATAAATGAGCGATACTCACAAGGGGCTGCGAAATCTGTTGCACGACTCTCGCTGTCGTGTGACCGGCTGGTGTTAGCTGTAAAACACAAATTTTATCATAGTTATTAGGCTAATTTCTTTTTTTTTAAGCATTGGTTATATGTATATCAACTATAGATCTCTCTTACAGTTGTTGAACGTGTAGTGTGGCTTACCACTTGATGTGATGTTTGGCTTTCTGATATTTTTTAAACTGATGAATGTGCAACATGTCATGGTTTACCATTGGTTTCTGAGACCAAAATCTCTGGACAATCCCTGACATTTTTTTTTACCAAAATGGAGATGACAATATGTTTATAAGCAAAGTGTCTTGTAGAATTACTAGCTTAATAAAATATGCAATTCCTAGTAACTTAAAATATATATATCTTACCGGCTTGATATTCTGCAGTACGACCGTCTTGCCGCCGCCCTGCAGTATGGTGACAGCTGAGGAGTTGAGCAGATTCTGTGTAGACAGCAGCACCGACTTGCCTCCAGCCTGACTTATCAGCAGCTTTGGTTGTTGACCTATCACTATTGGCTTTGCAGTTGCTGGTTGCTGGAATTTTATAATAAAAAAGTTAATATTAAATACTTTGTTTTTTTTTTTAATGAAAATTATCTCATTATTTCGTTAACTTATAATAAACAACTTTAAATTATAATGGATCCTATGAATCGTATGCTACAATTTTAAAAATAAATTTATACTACATTTTGCCCGCGACTTCGTACGCGCGGAATTAAAATAAAACTTGAAACAGTATCCTATATGTTCTTACAGAATATGTTCTACATATGTGTCAAATTTTATCGAAATTCATGCAGTTTTGAGTTAGTTTCTAACAAACATCCAATCAACTAATCATTTGCTTTCATGTTATTAGTAATATTCAAAGGTAAAATAAAAAATAGAATGTACATACGATTATATACAGAACCATTTATGTATGTATATAGTTGTAAGTTATGTTAGGGATTATGGCATTACGTACGGAAAGTAACACATACCTGTAAGAGAATGGTGTTGGGTTCTGACGTGGGAGGCTCCGGGGGTGTGCTGTTAACTTCTGTCTCTGACTGTACTGATGTTTCCGTGTTGTTCGCTGCAATTAAACAAAAAAATTAACAATTTTACAAGTTACATAAATAAATGTTAGTGACAGAATCATCTACTATATGAATTAAATTTGATCGCACATCTTACTAATATTATATATGCAAGAGGTTAGATGGAAGGATGTTTGTAAGAAGGAATCTTAATAACAGTTGCATAGATCTCGCTGAACTTTGGCATAGAACATAGCTTGGAAAAACACTAAGGTTACTAAATAAGTTTTCTTTATTCCATGCGAATGGCGTCGCGAACGACAGCTAGTTTTAAGGCTACCACATTGACCGATGAAATCTTATGAAGTTTTAGACCACTAACCTGGAGTCAGCGCTTCACTGCTGGGCTGGTCATCAGCTTTGGGCATCTGGTAGTTGAGCCCCTTGGCATAGTCTGGTGGAGGTGAGGGTGGCGCGACTGGCGGCTGCTTCTTAGCACCTTCCTCTATTTCTGTATATATACAGATTAAAAAATATTAAAGTATATAATGGGTAATAATGGATACATACTATGAAAGTAATACGACAATTTAAAATATTGGCGAAACTGAATAAGCGAGGTTGGAACCTATCCTGGGATAGCAATATTTTTCTAGCTTATGGCGATGTGAGAGAGAAAATGTGCCCTTAAATTTTTTAAAACAAAATGTTCATAAATTGTACTTAAAACCTTCAACATTACTTTGATAGTATTGAAATTGTTTGACTTTTGCAAACACACTCAGCATCCACATAATAATTATTATTAACCACTTTTTACATCTTCTAGACGGTACTCACCAAGTTTCCTTCTCTTCTTGATCTGTGCATGAGTTGCAGGTTGCTCGTTGATATCTAACAGCTTGATGCCAGAACGTGGAGGTGGTCGAGATATAGGGGCTAGTACTCTGGAGCCAGTACGCGCCGCCCAGCGAGATGGTAGACCTTTCAGAGGTGCTGGTAATCGAAAACTTTGTTTAAGTATGTGCGATATGTGATGAGAATAAGCTTATTCAAAAGTTTAATTGGGAAGCAATTTCTGACTATGGGTACATTGCATTGTATTACCCAACATTTTTGACAGAGGAGACACATGTAAAGAGTATATTTTCCCTTACTATGCATCTATCAAAACTTCTCTTTCCCATCTATTTCTTATATATAAATGGTGGAATGGGAAAGAATACTTAAATTAAAACCTCCGGCATGCACTTTCATCAATACACAGAATGACTTCCACTTAATCCATTTCTTCTATATGGTTGTGGTCATGGTAATGGTGTGGCTCCTTGGACGAAATGGCTTATTTGTGCTACAAATATTATTATTCCTGATTTTACCACTATTAAAGACTTTTTGTTACTCACTTGTGTCTGTCATTTTCCTAGGCATCCCTCTAGATCTAACGGGAACAGTGGGAGCCTGTGCTTTTTTCTGATTAGCTTGGATCTCCGCAGCTTTAGCTAGTAACTCACTCCTTAAAGCCACTGATTTCGGTTTTCGTTTCAATGTAAAATGTTTAACAGGATTCGGTTGTTGACCAACCTGGAATATAAATATTTTAGACAAATTATTATTGTAAAGTAATCTTACTTATAAATGCGAACATTTGGATGTATGGGTGGGATGGATGGACGTTTGTTAGGACAGCTCAGCTGACCTTGATGAAATTTGACATAGATTTAATTCATTATTTTTAATTACAGATATGGCTTCGACTGTCGCAGGCGGCAGCTAGTCATGTATATAAATACTTATTCAGTTTAACAAGTTTATGGTAAGTTTAGATGAAAAAATAATAAAAAACTTAAATAAAGAAATAAATATTTCAGTATACATTTATTGAAAGTAGCAATTTAGAATAATAAACACAAAATCTACATGAATAAAAGTGTAAGTGAATGCAAAAATATTAACAACTTACCACAGATACTAAGGCATTTTTATTTAAATATAGGCACTCCAATGGCAATAGATTAAGATCTGAATGTTTGGCCAGTTCCCTCCTCAGTTCTCCTATCATATCACTGAAGATAGGCCTGGTCTCATCAAACTCCGCTATCTCTGTATTAAGTGTGCCAGTCGCTGGGAATGTCTTAAGGACTTCAGCGAGCATCGCAACCCAGAGATCTGAGTCCACCGCTGCAACTTCAATGATCTCCTCCAATTCATTTCTCCACTGAAAATACAATTAATTCTAAATAAGAGATAATTTTTAGGGAAATAAAATTTGTTGGAAGCTTGGAACATCACACAGAACACAGTGTTTGGTATTGCAAGGCATATACGGGGAGGTGGAGGTAACCTTGATCCACCAAAAAGATTGATGCAAATACTATCCACAAAATTTTACTAATACAAATGCGAATGTTTAGATGGATGGATAGATGTTTGAGAAAATCTCCAGAATGGCGGAATGGTTCTTGACAAAATTTGGTATACATAAATAACATAATCTGAAAAAACACATAGACCACTAATTATGTATTTTTTGAATCTGCACAGAAGGAGTTGCGTGCGACAGCTAGTAACAGTATGAATTAAATACTTGAAAAAATGCTTATTAGTTCCAATAACCTAATGTTTAAAGGTGCCTATCACATGGTTATAAGTTTGATTTATTTAATTATTATCATATACCATATCTTACTACGGTAGATATCAATAGTACAGTAGAATCTTAATATCTCAAATATCAAGGGATATGCAAAAAACTAGGCAATACCTTGGAAGATATCATTAATGTGATCAATGGAATTTGAAAAATTATTATTTATCTAGTCATCCCGAACTTGGAGTAGACTTTTGCCTATATTTAAATTAAAAGTTTATTGATAAAATCAAATTGGATTTATTTGTTATAATTTATTATATTTATTAGTAATCTTTAGGATTCTCCAGTATTATATTACTTATATATTTTGTATATACAACTGGAACAATTAATGGAACATGTGAAATAGTTGTGAAATTGTTGTCCAATAGAATGTTTCAAATTTTAGGCATAATATACAAATTAAACTGTACATAACTTGAAGGAATAACAAACTCGGGAATAAACATATGAAAACAACCTTAATTTACATCTAATACGCTGACAATGTTGATTATAAAAGGCGCTAAGATGATAATATAATGAAAACACGATGAATTTGTCTATATTGTACGTTATTTTCGTGTAATATTTAATCACAACAAATAAAGTACAAAATAATTTATCCCGCTCTATCACGTTCAATTAATTTGTCGAAGAAAGAGATATCAAACACAAAACAGTTATGCAAAACCATAGAATATAAGAGAGAAAAGTTACCTCTTCAACATTTCTGCGCGGGATATGAAAGAAACTTAGCAATAATTTTAGCTTTACTTGTGTTTGCAAATCTGGAAAACAATCTTTAATATTTTTCAGCACTTCCGCGTTTAATTGAGAACAAATTGAGCCACTTGTCCACGAATCATTCGATATTCCGAGTTTATTGTGAAGCCACAAGGATGTATCACTATCCCGAACGTTCGCCATCTTGCAACTGAAGTTGTGACGTTTTATCAATGTGTTATGCGTACATGTGGTGACAGACGCGCATATTTTGTATTCTTTGGTGTCGTCGTGAGTCATAAGTTAAAATAATTTATTTGAACTTTGTGAATAAGAAATAGAAGTAAAGCAAAGAAAACAAGAAATATCCACTTCCTCATGTTAATCATAAATTAAAATAAAAAATATATTAAAAAGTTTAAAACACTACATCCAAACAATTTAGTCTATGGTTAAGTAAAAGTGGTAAAGTTTATTCGAATAATTACGCCCATTTTTATAAATTTTTCTTTAACTCTTTGTCCTCACACAATTTGAATCTGTAATATTTAAATACAAATAAAATCAACTTTGTAAAAAAATAAATCAAAGAATGACAAGACATGAGACAGCAACGATAACTAGAATTATTTATCGACAAAACTTTATGCTAAAAATAACATTCAATAGGCAAAACAGTACTTAAAACATAAAAATTAAACATGGGTGATAATTCAAATTCATCATTAACCTTTAATTTGTATGAAGAACAAGGCCACGAGGAAACCACATTGGATATATCCAGCCAAGGCTTAGCAACTTTACCAAAAATAGAAAACAAAATGCTATGCGTAAATATTATGTCCTAGAATTGTTAATTTGCAAGTTTCTAAATAATTAATTAATTTCTTAATATGTTTTCAGATACTATATCTACAAAATAACAAAATTAAAGATCTACCCCATGATTTCTTTGAAACTTTGCCATATCTGACTTGGTTCGATATGAGAGATAATGAGCTACGAGATATTCCAAAATCAATTAAAAATCATCAAAATCTAAGTCATTTATTGCTTCAGAACAACAAATTATCGACATTGCCAAATGAATTAGGCACTGTTGTCAATTTAAAAGTACTTCAAATAAGTGGTAATCCTTTAACATATCCGCCAAAAGAGATTATAAATGCTGGTACTGCAAAAATAGTTCAATTCTTACACAAGAAATTTATTGATGAACAAGACTCACAATTACGTTCAGCATCTGTTGGCGATGAGAATTCAAATCTTAACACAAAACTTCTATCAGAAACTGATCTGAAGAGCTACAATTCAGTTTATGAAGAAAATTTAAAAGGTCGTCAGTATCTTTCAGTACTGTTAAGCGAGAAAGATGTGACGGAGTCGGAAATAGAATTTTATAGTAAAAATAAAGGAAAGTGCCCAAAATTAGCCACCAGTAGAAAGAAAACATCGCCATGTCACAATCAAAGTTCAAAATACCTTAAGCCGGTGTATGCACGTAGCAAAGAAAAGCAGGATGCTAAAATTACGCAAACCTATTTAAGAGAAATGGCGTTAAAAAAACAAAAAGATTTGATGGCTAGCAAAGATAAAATCCTGCAGAGCAGAAAGTAAGTTAACGTACAAATTTAAAAGTGCTTAGTCTTAGTTATTAATAATCGCTAGTAATAAGTTATTATTGATCTTAAACTCTCTTTTAGGAACTTGGAACTATTGAAGAACTTTCGTAAAACTTATAGAACAAACCAATTGTCTATGCCACGGGGAAATACACATTATAAGCGCACCGCGAACGACTATCCTTACGACACTAATCCTGAATATATGACTCTTTTGACTAGAGACGATATAGAAAAAGACCTACCGGATAAATATAAAAAGAGATTATGGCGGCGACCCAAACCTACCGTACCACGGAAGAAAAATGGCGACGTGCATTTAGCGATGAAAATTAAAAAGTTATTTGAAACTTTGGAAGCTATAGATTTGAATAAACGGGAAATGACACCGAGGACAGAGCAGAAAATGCTCTTAAATGAGATACACAAGGTAATACAGATAAAATATTATCCTAATGTTTTGGCATTTAAAACCAACGGTCATCATTGTAGACCACAGACTATCGTTATTTTTCGTATTACTAAACTTCGTTTTATGTAATTATTATTATTGATTCCAAAAGATAATATTAAAACACATTTTTTTTACATTTTCAGATAACGGAAATTAAACAAAAACTAATGGAGCTGTCAGCAAATAATTCAAAATCAGTGGAGACCGAAAAGCTTCCAGTCTTATAGATTCTACGTAAAATATAATTTACTTATTGAAAATAAGTTTTTTTAGGATTATAAATATTTTAATTTACATTACTTTTTGAACAGAATTGGTTAATCTGTTATAAAATTGTGGGCACCAGAAAAAAAAATCTTTGACAACTTTGTTAACCGTTTATGTAATTAGTAGTCTTGTTTATAGTTTTTAAAATGTATTTGACTAGTTCTTATTTTATTCCAATAAAAAAATGTTTCCTTTGTTATAATATAAAAGCAATGAATAAACACTTTATGTACAAAAACACGCAATTTCGATTGTATTTTTTATTTCATATACATACATATGCTTGCATTAGATATGGAACGGAAATTTACAATACTGGTTAATAAAATAAAAAAGCACATAAAAATAATTAAATAGAATTTCTGTAGCACTTTTCATAATATTTATAAAATACCATTTTTTACTCTGATTATATTTAACTGGTCAAACTCACATAACAACAATGCCAAGGTTTTGAAAAAAAATTAAGAAGCTTCGAATTTCTTTGCGTCTTGATTTTTAATTATCGTGTAAATATAAGTCTGTAACAAGAGATCTGTCGCGACTAAACAATGATTATAAATTAATAATATCGTTTTAAACAATGATAAATATATGTATATCTACTATTATAACATATATTTGAAATTCCTTTCTGGCTATATTAAATAATAAATGTAAAAGCGCAAGCGTTACTACATAACAGAAAGTGGCGCCCTCAAAGTTGACAGATCTCTTTTTGTACAGACTATAAATAGCTGTTTAAAAACTTGAAATTGAGGTATGTTTTGTCTATGGATAGACAGATAAAATAAAACGGCACACTTAACACATTTTCTACATTCCTTTGACTATCAAAATACACAATCTTAAAATTCTTCTCAATTACTCAGTCTTTACACCTTTAGGAGGCGATCTTGTCCGATATCACGCAAACTTCATTTCACTTACATTTACATACAAAAACATACACTGTTATAACATATAAAGTGAAAATAATATCTTTCATATAAATGCCGCGAGAAAACCAAGAAATATATAATTGTCATATCAATTTGATATTTTTGTAACCACACACTAGTAATTAACTCATATTTTTAATAAAAAATAACCTGTAGATATATAACATTCGAATAGTGTAAAAAAACCTGTAATAACAGATTTTGGAAGCTGTTCTCACGGTGCATTCATATTGAAAATTCAAAACTTATATATAAAATTAACACTGCCACAGAGTCAGGTCTGGTGTCTCTAAGGCCTTTGCAACACAAAGCTATATAAATCTTCGATACCCGGCAATTTTAATTGCTAAGCGACTTACGAAATACAATGTAATAGAGGTTCGTATGCTGCATAGGTCGCTGATACTTCTATCTATCATCGCCAAAGACATTCGCTGGCAAAATGTTTGTCAAAATTGTCGTAATAAATGTCGCTGTGATTTTCAAGATGGCCGAGCAAATCTTTACAGTTGAAATTTAGTCAATTTCCCTCTACTTACAGAATTACCTCGACGATTCAACGTTGTGAGTACGGAACCCAACGAAAAGTTACAATATTAGTTTTGAAGATTTACATTGCCTTGTGTACGAAGGAGCTTAGTCTACATTTATTTCACTAATTCTACAGTTAGGGATGATTTTACTGCTATTATTGGAAGAGTGTAATGGAGGAAGCTTCATACTTTACACTAAAATGCGTAAAATTATTAATTATCTATATCTTAATGTATAACCGTAGAATTTCACTGTCGTGATACTTTTATTAGCGCATATGTTCGTACTATGACAAAACAGACACAGTATGATAGTGAAATTCTACTATAAGAAATGAACTCTCACGAAATCATCCCATAGGATTCCCAAAGTCAATTCAAAATGAAACACTAGCTTCATACCGCGATTTCATTCGCGCGAAAAAAAGCCTAGTAATCTATGTGTTCTATATCTCTGCAAAATTTCATCAAGATCTGTTGAGCCGTTCCGGAGATACCTTATAACATCTATCCATCCAAACATTCACATTTAAAAGTATTATACACTATTAAGTGAGAAGTAAGATTCACGCGTTTATAACTTTTTATGCAACTTAACAACGAAACTAAACTTTTAGCTAGTGATAGTCTTGGATTCGTGTTATCATACATTTCCCAATTTTGATAAAAGTGAGAGCTTATTTCCTTATATATTATAATACTTATACATAAGTAATAACTAAATAAAATGTAACCTATATATCTAGCGACTTTTATCATACAAACATTTCCATTTCATCCATTTTGGATTTAAAAATGGGAAATACAAGAGAGTTACTAATATCATACAAAATAATATAACACCATAATAATTTTAAATTAGATACATAGAAAATAATATGCCAGCATTTTGACTGTCAACCATATTTAAAAAAGGTCATAGCTTATTTATCATCGGCACCTTTTATCGAAAAAAAAAATTGTTTTTACCTGAGTACATAATCTTACATACATATCTTTAATGATATTATAAATTTAATTTAATCACATGAACAAAATCGGAACATTTACATACCTTTTTTTGGGAAGACAATTTTTTTTTAGGTTATGGTCACATTAAAAATAAACCTGTTTGATTCGTTTCATTAAAAGATATTTCAAATTGTATATAAAAAACTGATATTTTCTTGTCTTTTAGTATTTATATTATATAACAAATTTAAATGAGATAAATAAAAAGAAAAAAATGATATATATTTTATGATTAGAAAATTATTTCATTATTAAAAATGTAAAAATAAAAGCACTATTTATTATATTTTAAAACTTATATATGATCAAGGTCAAGTAACAACTGGAAAGATTTAAATAAATTAAAATTTAAATTAATTTCTTACGATATTTTTATTAATTAATTTATCCACCTTGTTTTATTGTAAATATGTAACAGTGTGTTTCCACTGACGTAACACTTATACAAAAACATATTCTCTGTTTTATCAAAGAGAATATGAGATATGTTTCTGTACATGTTTATCGACAGTGAAAACTCACGGGTTAGTTATATCAGTGTTGTGGGCGGATTTTAACTTTATACTTATGCTAAGTATGTTAGAAACATAGGATGTGCAAAAATGCGTAAATAAAGTGTGTGATTGTGTGTTTGAATGTAGTAAGACAGTAAATAAGGGTAAAAACATACTAGTGACTAAAAATAATTGTGTGTTTAAGGATATAAACATGATTATGGCGGGTAGATTAATGTATGAGATTGAATGGGGAGGTTAAAAAGCCAAAATCTAAATGAAATGCGTCAGATTTGACAACTATAACTAATCCTTCAAATTGCTCATTTTAATCAGAGTAGCTAGAAACTCTGAATGCTCTTATTTAGAACGACTGACTGCAGTAAACTAATTACGTTAATTTTCAATAATTATATATTAATGTCAGAATAAATCTAATATCGTCAGATTACAGTCAACGTTGACTGCAGTTAGTACTGAGAGCGATCTAATTATGTCATATCGCTGTCAGGAACGCTTACGGCAATCGGCACCGACTGTAATCTCTACTGACAGCGTTGGGTGCTCACTGCAGTCGGTACTTTTCGCAGTCGGCACCGACTGGACCGTTGTTGCTCACTGCAATCGGTGCCGACTGCAGTGGGCGTTGTTTGCCGTCAATGTGGTCGTCGTCGTCGCCTGAGCGGCGGCTTGGTGTGCGAGCGCTAGAACGCGCGCGCGAGGAACACGCAGCCGCCCTCTCGCGCCAGTTCCACGAAACCGAGCTTCGTGTAGAACTGATGTAGATATTGGTCTGACTGATCAACGCACGCGTGGACACCGCTCACACCTGGACACAAGTATTATATTTCATTATATAAAAAAAAATTATAAAGCTTTTTAAAAAAAACAACAATTAAAATATTCAAATTCCCGAACAGCTGTCAAGTCAGTATTGTTAATTGGTCTCTTTTTGTTTTTTATGATACAAAGTATTGACTAAAATTAGGCCTCCGGCACATACATTGGAGGATGCGTGGAATTGCTTCCACTTTTCGTCTGTCTGTTTGATATTAGAAAACTACACTAATGGCGCCCAATAGTTATCATTTTATGACTAAATGCAGTAATAAAGTATTGTTGTTTACCGTTAGCTCTAAGCGCTGCCAGTAGACATGTTAGAAGACGTGGTGGTGCGAGCGGGTCGCGCACGCCGGGCACACAGCATGCCAGCAGTGCGGGGTGCGCGCGGCACACTGAATCCGGCGCACGCGGCACGTTACTGAACTCATGGAAATGTCGGATACATTCCTGGAAACAAATAATTGTACAGTGACCTTGAATAATACCATTATATAATGAACTAGCAGTTGACCGCCTCTTCTATGCAGAATTACAAGAAAAATCTTAATTTTGATTATTAGATAGCTTAGGCTAGTTCATAGAAGTTTACAGCTCATCCGCCTTACAAACATTACCAGTTTTAAACTAGCTGTTCATCATCATCAGCTCACTTTACGTCCCCACAGAGGGGCTCGGAGCCTACCTTAAGTTAGGTGTGACTAGGCCATAGTCAACCACGCTGGCCAAGTGCGGGTTGACTTCACATATATTTTTTAATTTTTTCGCAGACATGTGCAAGGTGCAATTTGATGTTTTCCTTCACCGTAAGAACGTCGACTATCTATTATTACAACGTAACTGTGCCTTCGACGTTATAACCGGTTGATTGTAGTTCCAACTGACCTTGGCTGCTGGACTGAGGTCATCTCTCTGCAGCAGTTCCTGCGGGTACTTCTGGCACATCTCAGGTATCCAGGCGACTTCTTGCTTTCTATAGAACTCTTTGGCATTGAGCGCAGCGCACGCGTAACCCACTATCTCCGGTTTTATACCTGGCAGAAAGAGATGACAATATTTTTTACTTTTTTTTATGCTATTAAAATCACAACATACATTATACACGTGTAAACGCTAATACTTGACTAGCTTTTCCCCGTGATTTTGTCCGCGAGGAATTAAAAGAAAACTTAGTAAATAGCTTTTGCATTCTTTCAGACTATGTTCTACATCTGTGCCAAATTACATCTAGATCGGTTAAGCGGTTTAGGAAATACATAACAAACATCCATCCATTCCAACTTTAGCATTTGTAATATTAATATTAGTAAGATAAAACTAGAACTGCTGATTATTCCATAAAAATGTCATTAATTCGAGAAACTTCTTGTCAAGGAGTTTACATATATTCTTAAAAAACCTTTTCATCAGTCGGGCAAAAAGAAAAACAAACCATTCAATTTGACTTCCGCGATGCTCTCTGACTTGTCTTCCGAGTCATCAACGTCAACTTCTGTGTCTGCCTCGTGCTGGATACAGCCTGAGTCATCTTCTATCACCATGCACAGCTCAGGACATAGCGTCAGAAATGATGCCACCAATCTGTGAAAAAAAATGTGTGTTAATATATTATGCTCCCATCGATAAGACCAAAAATCTCTGTATAAAACATATCGTTATCCCTGTCATTATCTTTGACAAAACAGAGATAACAATATGTTTAAACTGGATATTTTGGATTCAGAAACCTACGGTAATTTTATCACCCTGACCCATTAACTATGGTACACGTTAAATATATTTTGGAATTTATTTTTTTCACTCACCTATCCGCAGGTAGATTTTGTAGATCACTTGGAAATAGATCTGCACAGTCAGCGCTGTCTCGACACATTTTATTACATATCATTATCACCTGAAAATATAAATAAAATTAAATCGTAAAGAAAAATAATGCAATATTGTTAAGTCATTTTCAATAAGTTCACTATACATCTCCACCAAGTGGCTTGGAGTGTACCCTAAAATAGAGATGACTGGGTCGGGACATAGTCATCGCTGGGTCAATGCGGGTTGACTTCACACTTATTTTTCCAGACATGTGCAGGTTGCATTACGATGGTTTCCTTCACCGTAAGAACCTCGAATAAATGTACATATGTAAACCAAAAAACACATTGGTACATGGATTCGAACCCAGGGGCTACAGATTGCAAGTCAATCGCTGAACACTTGAGCCACCAAGCTTTTATATTGTTAAGTAATTTTACATAATTAAGATCACACAGAAGACAAGTGAAAGTAATTCTACATACAGTCTGACAAGTGTATTTGCTTGAGGACTAATTATAAACCTCTTCCTTCATTTCCTCTTTCCATCCCTTTTTTATCAGAAAGGGTAAGAAAGGGAAGGTGGATATTGCAGAGAAAGGGGAAATTTTATCTATGCCCCCGTCTGTCGATTAAAAGTAGTCAATGCATTTGCAAATACGGCCGCCTAAGGTCATCATTCGCCATTTTGGCGAATTAATGCGCATATCTTAAGCGAACTTCGCTGTTTTGGCGAAGTTATGCCGCTTACTCATATTCTAACCAATGCAAAAAATACTTACCGCCTCTTCATCAGCAGTAGTATAAGGTCGTACAGTGAGAGGCAGACCGTCCGGTATGATCTGTGGTCTGAGCACATCTCCGCTGCATTCAATGGGCAGCAGTCTGCGCAAATCAGCAGTCAGCCCGCCTCTGAATACCCACGGCTCCTGTGCACCGCTCTCGAATGCCTCGCGCCAACCTTTAGAGAACCCTAGAATAGAGGGCGATTTGAAATATTGAAGGTCTTTGAATATTGGTTTTCAGTAGACCACCTACACTATAGTGAAAATATTTTTGGTCTAGATTGCATTTTTTTATTTTAAACATATATGATATGGTCTGAATACTTACACGTGTAACTCGCTTGTGTATTGGACGTTATATTTTGAGGGAATTTGCCGAGCTCTGGAAAAAAAAACAGAATTATCATAAATTTTCGTAACAAAGTCTAATTTAACCAACGACTTTGTCACACAGAAGTAAAAAAGACGAAAAAGCTATAAGCTACAATATTTCCGCACACATCAGCTACTATCTAGTGAAAGGTCCAACGATCCAGTCGGGTTATCTCCGGAATAAACGCGGCTTGGAGACAGACAGACAAAAATTTAAATATTGGCTCATCGTTATAGGTGAAGCTAATACATGATTTTTTTTATTTCAATATTACATACAAACTAACTATTGTAAGATATAAAAGTTATCGTAGTACCTAGCCAGCGCAGGAAGGCAGTGAGCAGTGCCAGCACAGCACACAACTCCCATACGTATGGCTGCAACTCCGCGTGCAGCTCACGGTTGGCCGCCGCACCCAGCCGTCGTGCCAGCCGCCTCGCGCGTCCCGCCCACCATGAGAACCGTCGCAAACGACGACGCCATTCACCTGTCTGTATTAAAAAAAATGTTTTAAAACCATCGCTGATTGATAGATGGCGCTGTTATATACATACATTTAATTTTTTTTATCTATTTCACTAATCTTACTCATAATGATATAAATACGAATGTTTAGATGGATGGATGTTTGGTTGAAGGTATCTCTAGAAAGGATGGGTGGATCTCGCTGAAATTTGGCTTAGATGTAGAACATAGTCTAGAAGAACACGTAAGCTACTAATTACGTTTTTTTTTAATTCCGCATGGACGCAGTCGGGGGAGAAATTAAAAAAGCTATTATAAATCGAAAGTTTAGCGAAAAAATCATATTATTCATAAATAAATTAGCGCTCGACCACAGTCCAAGTATTAAGACACAAAAACGTACATGTCAGATATCTTGAGGGCTTGAAACACCATGTGGGTAGTAAATAAAATTCCACGAGAATACCTCAGACTTGTTCCCTCTAGGCAGCACACTGGCGGCGTGTGTCAGCAGCCAGTTGAAGTCGTGCAGCAGACGCAGCCCGCGCGCGCCGTGCTCGAACGGCAAGTAGAACAGATCGCACAGCAGCATCAGATCATCTGTTGTTAGTTCACTCGCTTCTATCGCTGGCTCGTCTAGACCACTGGAACAATCACGTTTGTTTATTACCGCACTCGGAGTCCTTAGTTAGTATGAAAATCTACATTTTAAACATATTGATATCTCTGTTGTTTCAAAGATAATGACAGGGATGACGATATGTTTTATACAGAGATTAACTTCGCTATTTCAGCGATTTCAGGTGGCCACTCGCTCGTTTGCCACCTAATGTTATAAAAAAAAGAAAAGGTGGCAAACGAGCGAGTGGCCACCTGAAATCGCTGAAATAGCGAAGTGACCGTTGCCCATAGACATACGCAGTTGCATATCCGTTGTCTACCTTTAATCGACGGAGAGGATGAACAGAAAGAAAATATTTTCCCTTTCCATGCATCCTCTCATCCGGAAAGTCCACTTCCACTTCCCATCCTTTCCTTATAAGAAAAAGGGTAGGAAGGGAAAAAGGACTAAATTAGGCCTCCGGGACGCACACTCATCAGACTGTACTTGGAATAGCTTCCACCTGACGCTTGTCCTCTGTGTGATCGTGGTATTTCACCGGGCGAGCAGAGACAATTCGTGCGAAGATGTTAAACCGGGCTCTACCACTGTTGGAACTTCTACAGAATATTCGGAAAAAATCTATGAAAATAATGATTACTTACTCGTCAGTTGGTTCAGTTAATTCCGTGGGTTCAACCATCATGTCACCGCTCAGTGGACTGTTGCTGGGCTCTACTTGCATGGAGCCATTCTGTTAATATAGCAAACATTCAGACTACAAAAGGTCACTCAGAAATATTAAGTGAATTCCCTTAGTTTTGACTTAGTATGAGAAACCTACGCTAAAGGACTCATTCAGCACGCAAATAACTACTGAATGCAGTATGGAATTGTTAAATTAAATATGGCTCGAATGATTCCGAAAAAAAAACACGGAACATCACAAGAAGAAAGGATAAAATCACGTGTTCTGATTACTGACGTAATTTAATTACTCTACAATAATAAAAGGCAGAAAATTTTAATATTACTATATAATAAAAATACATGTAAGTTTGGGTATCGGAAGAAGTAGTCTAAAAGAACTCAACACATATCAGAGAGGGTCAAAAATATGCTAAAAAATCACGTGATGGATGACCTCTAAGGAATTAAGGATTATTAAATGAATTAAGTATATTAACCTCGCTAAGGCCATCATTCATGACGATGTCGGAGTCAGCGGCGGTGGAGGGCGGGTCTACATCCAGTGGCTCCAGCGTCACCTCCTGGTTGCTGAGTCGAGTCGGGCTCAGTGTCTGCG